AAGCTGACTGATGTTTTTGTTCTTCTACTCCAAGACTCTATACATAGCAATACAAAAAGGTTGAAGACCCCTGCTCTAGACCAGCGAGTGACGATTTCTGCAGCCCGCAGATCGGATTGGAGTTTACTGTTTAGTCTCTCTCCACACTATATTATTATTATAAGCACAGTGGTGATGACGCTTTCATATAAAATATAAATCATATAATTCAAACTGCAGTCGACGCGATAACGAGCGTATATGACACGAGACAATACCAGATAATAAACTATATTTATATATGCCTGCGTGCCCTATACGGCTATATATTATTACACAACATAAACATACGCTAGTGCTGGTGTGCGGAGTGCGGGGTGGAGTACAGAGTTTACCGTGGACAACCGCACTTATTATAGGCGTAGCATTTTAAAAGAAAAAAATCTCGACGCAAATAGTGACCGTTTTGCGCTCGTGTTTTGCAAAGTCGATGCCAACCCGATAGGACACACATTTCTCGCGCACGGTAGTCTTCTGCAGCTGTATATTACAGCCAACCGGGTCAACGGACTGGTAAGTTATAAAGGTAGAACTGTATGTGTGTGATACTGACTAAGCGTAACCCGGGCCCGGGTGTAAATAATTACGAGCGCTCACCCGGATCCGTGCATATATATGTTGTACATTTATTTAATACATTATTCTATAGCACAATATCTGTAGAATCCAAAATTTGCATACAACATCAAACACGAGGAAGAGCCGTTTTACCCGCGGTTTTAAAAATTCAAAAATCCCTCCCCCCGACTTGCCACGATAGCTGTTTCCCCTGAGAACTAACCATTGCAGCAAGTCTACTTATTTAAAACCGGACTAAGCGAACGATATATTATATTATCATGTATATATTATTTAGAAAGACCGCGACAGCCGCGGCGGACACGATCTTTACCGTTAACTGCGGGACATGCGCGCTAGAGACACGTCCATATATTATTATTGTATTATTGTTATATATTTATACATACATACATACATAAACATATTGTTTGGGTAACGTTTAAGCAGACCACGTTTTATCCAAAAGGTACCTAATTGAAATGTTCTTTGTTCGCAATTTACGTTTGTAACGCACAAACAACGAGAAACTCAGAGAATCGACTCCAAGCAAACGTCATATATATTATGAACATATATAATACAAGTATTCAACATACACTATATACAGTAGATACAGAAGATACATAGTACACAACTTAGATCGCTACAGACTGCAGGATCACAATGTTAGAAAAAGAAATAATTCTCATCGAATCGCATATTACCATAATATGTAGTCATTTATATTTTATTAAGACTTTATAATACATTTTAATCAAATTTAAAGTTCCCGTGAAATAAATTACAAGAAATAATTATAAAAATGCACTAATCGTATATGTATAGTTTGATGTAAATAAAAGTACCCCAATTCGAATAAAACTATAAGATTTAAAAAGATAAAAGTGCATGTTGTTAAATAAAATAAAATGACATAATTTTTCTTTTCTTTTTAGGACTAATTTATTTAAAAACGTGAAGTGAAACCTCTTTTTTACTTCCTAATATAAATAAATACACGACAACTTAGATTGTATGGAAATACGCATAAGGGAAACGAACGATCTTTACCGTTAGCACGTGACCATTCTGTTACATATGTCACATCAGGATCAAAGATCCACGGTGTATGTTGATATATCGATATGCGTCTATAATATGTATTATGTATTATAATCATACTATATGCTAAACCAGTAAGTAATGTAAATTAGTGAGTTGTGTATATTTTAATATAATATTATGTAACAAAATTACCATTTATTATACTTGTACCTATATAGATAAAAGCCACTTTAATAAAAGCCTTTAAAAATCCATTCTACTGATAAATAATTATACAAATAGGTCCCTACTTACTATAAACATTATATAACCAAGAGTAAAAACAAGCTATAGTCACAAACAATCCCAAAGAAAAAACCTTTTCTTTTGATTTAAAAGTTTTTACAAAATTAATGAGAGGGTACTACACATCAAATATTTATTTGACTTTTTTTTTGATGTGTCATACGCGTATACAGGTAGGTACTCGTTTTGATTTGCCTCTATACCGAACAATAATTTTTTAGAACTGGGTGACTCGGTCATTATGGTAATTTGTTAACCGTTACTTCCAGGGGATGTATATATGGTTAATATAGTTAATAATCAAAAGTAGTGTTTTTTTTGTCCTATAAGTAAACATTCGAGTCCGTTTGAGGTCGTGATCGAAAAACTCGTTCGAAATAAATGGAATTATTTTATTTGTCGAATCCAAATTTAATTTCGCCGACAACAATCGTTTACAACATCGACGCCTTTTAAGTGCATACTGCATACATCAAACAAACGAAAAGAAAAAATAATAACCGAAAACCGGCTGCCGACAAGGACCAGTTTTAGGCACGTTCAAGCCATAACTGCACATTCGTTATTATATTAAATACACTGCACAGAGTACCAATACTAACTACACAATCTGCTGTATATATTCTATGTGGCAGGTTATAATAATTGATCAAAAATCTTGTTTTTTAATTTTTTTTTAAACATAACTGTACTCACTATGTGTATGATGAATTGATATTTTTACAATTAGTTAAATAAAAAAAAATAAAAACAATTGTAACAGATGAAATACTATATTTATAATGAATAATAATACTATATGGTACGAATAACTCGTATTGTATTATTATTATAAAAATAAAGAAAAAAGATGAAACAGAATTGTAATAGTTCGTTTTTTTACTAAAAAAGACGTACCTAGTACTTGAAAACTTAGGGCTTTCAAAAGTTATATGCGTCTAGTACGAAAAACTACGAAGCCATCTATTTACAAAAAAATATTTTAATTATGAAAATGTCGTCCTCATATCACGACGATGTGAAATAATGTTTAATAATTCTTCTGTAGTTCTGTCTTCGTGTTTTGATCGATTAATATAATCGTTCATTCCGATGTAATAATGAAAAATGTGGGTACACTTAGCTAAAATATTTGTGTTATTCTCTTATCCGGGTAATTTGTCAAGATTTCCAAAATACCTATAAATTATAGTGTGTTTTAGAGATAATATACCTATATTTTATTATACTATGTAGGATGACTAGGATGGGTACTCGTGTGTGACGACTGACGGTCTTATACATGGGCGGATGGGCCTGACTATCTTGTTATTGATTTGAGAAATATTATGAACGAGCTCATATAAAACAATCGAAATATTATTGGTGTAGACCGGATCTAGATGTCCATCGGAAAGCGAAAACCCTCAGCAGGCACGGTTGCCCCAAATCCGCCTGCAACGAAGGCATCATAATCACAGGTTCTGCGGAACTAGCGAGCAGTCTAATTTACAAACTGTAACCTTAAACTTCATGGAACTCTGTTCGTTAAGTGATTTTCGTCGTCATTGTGCGTACACAAATGAGAATGTTCCCACGCGTCGGCGAAACTAAAGCCAATTACCGGGCCACGAAAATACTGTGGATTGTTTTTTCTTCTTCTTCTTCTGCTTCTTCGTCTTCTTCTTCCGCCGCAACGTCTTTCCTCTCCCGTGTGCATTTCTTGTCCTTCAGCTCGTTTACAACAATGCCAGACAGTAAAAATGTATCAGTATATACATATAATAAAAAAATAACACACGAGTTTGTAATTGAATGACTTGGGAAGTAAGGTAGCGCGATAATATTTTCGCATATTTAGTACCTATATAGAAGATAGATCCGGAGTTTATAGAGATAGCGATCTCTTGGGAAAACTAAGTAAAACGGTCTCTAGTTTTCGAATGGTAAGTTGTAACGCCTGTAACGGTGCACGCGCCTAACTTGCTTCTCTGGAGGAAAACAGGTTCAATGCAAATCCCCCGTGTTTGCCCCCACACATTTCACAAAAGACACATTGAAAGAAAAACGTCCCGTATAAAAGAATAATTCGATATTTCTAACCCCGCCTGGTATTTTCCACACATAATAACAATTCAATAACCGAGTAACCGAATTGTTTGTCGGCACCCGAAGTCAACATATTATATCCTATTGAAGTCTACCGTGTATTGATATATATTATATAGCTCGTATATACACGCAACAGCAGTCCTTTATATATCAGAGATCGTCGTATCGAATTTCTTCAATACAAAAAAGATTCAGAGGGAGGATCAAAAAATGTACCTGTTATTGCATCGTCGCTACACACACTGAAATCGTACGATATATAAACGCAAACATTCGATTTAAAATGATAAAATAAATACAAAATTCTTAAGCCCGGGTTGCCTACAAAAGAATTAGGAATACCCACTGCGTGTATAGAAGTGAAAGATTTCTCGTAATTCTAACGTTCTGACATTAAATAATTTAAACTCTTTCCATGACCGTTTATAACTATATAATATACATTATTATACATAAGTAACGTATGGATACATGTAATACAACATTATATAGTATGTTTTGTTATAATGGGCCGTGGGGCGACGATCATAAATCTTGTATTGCGTAAACAACTCACAATCAGGCGCAGGGTATTAAAAGGTCGATAACAATCTGTGCAATGTAATGGTCGCAGGTTGGGAGAACAAAAAAAAAGAGTAAATAGTAAGGAAAGGTCAATCGCAACGACGCAACAGTGAGACGTCGGTCGAGCGAGGGTGCACGATACGCTACCCCTTATTATATAATATATATATACAATACATGCGTTATAGGTACCTAAGAACACGTACCGACCAGGACCACCCAGGCCGAGCGCAGTGCTATGCACACGATACAATAAATAATACTATGGTTTTTCTCGATATCCTATTAATCCTCATTTGTTATGCACAGTCTCGTATGAACGAAACAAGCAACGAAAAAAAACCGTACATATAAATATTAAATACTAGTATACTACTGTAAGTAGAAAAAACAAGACGAAAATAACCCCTCCTGACCTCGGTTTGGGATCCTTGAGCCGGACGCTGGACCGGGTCCTACTGGAGAACATGGCGGCCGCCACTATTTTTTCCTTTTCGGTGACTCTCCGGACATGAGACTCTGACGACAAAATAGTATATGCTATGCACACCGAAACTAAATCACACGCGCCACTTAAACACACTAATGCTAATAAATTTACAAATAAATCACAAAAACAAACCGACGACAAGATTATAATAATAATGCAGAAATAGTGCCTTAGAGACTTAAACGAATCGGTATGCACAGGACGCGCGCGCACTCGCACCGCACACGACAGGACGCTTAGTGTTCCGGCCAAGAACTGCCGGTGCGCCTTCACGGGAACCGGTTAGTCCGCGGAGGCGGCGGCGGCGGTAGTCCGGGGCAACGGGGCAACAAAAGACTGCGACGACGGTGCAGCATCACTCTTTACGCCCACTCCTGACGACCCGCACCACCGACCGTCGACGTAATTATTGTTATTATTATTATTTTTTTTCGTCTTTATTTCTGTGCGGTCAAGCTAGCTAAAACATTGCAATGATCAGAATTTACGTGTGCATGTTTCATTTTAGTATAAAATCATTTATAAAATCATTTAATGATGTTTTTTTTTAGTCTTATCGATCGAACTCTCTCGATGTCTTAGCCTACTATACCCCAACATTTGAACTGATCGCGTCAAACTGGACAGTGGATTCCACAATAATAATAGAATTAACGTTTATTATTTTGTATGTGTGTGTGAAATAGATTTTAATTCTGCAAGCTGTATACAATTAAAAACTAATAGACAAGTACAATCATCAGTAAAGCCAACAAAAACTTATAGTTATTTATTAATTATTATATAGCAAAATTGCATGACATTTGAATTCTCCTTATCACGGTTATTGATACCTTTCATTTAAACACAAAAACAAACAGAGTTCCAACAATTCCCTTTTCTTTAAAAAAAAAACAGCTCTGCATCAATAACTATTGCCAACCCCTCCTAAAATGGTTCATACAGTACTTAAGCTGGTAAGGTATTGCCAAAATATAAATGTATAAAAGTTAGTAAAACCCAAATAGTAAACAGGTGGCGATGGCGTAATGACGGTGGGTAGAGATCATTATAAGTTATAATACTTGTGCACGTAAATCAAAATAATATGTGTGTAAAATACATAGGTAAATGAATATATCTTTATAACTATTATATATGATTAAAATTAAAACTTTATTAATTATTATTAGAATATATTGTATTAATATATTTAGGTAGCTAGGTAATTAGGCAAGTATTTATAGTATGCCAAGTTAAAGTCTTTCAATCTTAGATGTAAAGTTTGTTTGATGGTAGATGGTTAATTTTTTAAAATGTTTTTATTTACTTTTGCCATTTTTGGGGTATCATATTATCATACATTAGCCATTATGTATAAGTATCTATGGACTATGACAATGAGTCATAACAAATAATATATCTTTAAAAAGTGTAGTCAGAGTGGGCCGAAAAGTGTAAATTTTACCAACGTACCAAGTATATATTACAATACTAACTAAACAATATAATATAGATGAATACGAGTTATAATAATCGTGAGTAATATTATACCTACTAGTTTTCGTCTGAGCGGTGGGCGCATTATATTATCAACCATTTTTCATGTTATTATTATTCATTGCACAAACAGTAAAATAACAATGTAATTATTGTAGTAGATCATTGTTTTTTCACATGTCTGATTTATTTTTTCATTTAGTTTTGGGAGACGTCGGTCAGCGCCAGGCAAGGAGGCACATATTAGACCTATAATAATTATGTTTTTAGGTCAAAGTATAAAATATTGATTCTTTTTTAATTCCCCTGTAGTATTATTGTAATATACCTACCCCAGTCTCTATAATAACTTATAATACATTCTGAATTCCCATTATTATCGAGATTTATATCTATGTCACAATGCGTTATGCTGTTGAGTAACGAGTTAAAATTGTGTTTTATTAAAAAACATAAAACATAACCCTAATACCAACCAATTAGTTAACATTTATAATATTATTAATTATGATGACCATTAATGCCCATTAGCTTGTTGTGCTGTGTCATATTATGTAGGTACCCGCTTAGGTACTGCAGCTTAGGAGATTAAACCGCAGCTGATATAAAATCAGAATTTATGTTTCTACTGTGTATTATATTATATGTATAACCGGTTATTTTGGCCGCCTAAGGACTAATAAATACAATCGACTAATTGACTGATAAAATATTTATAACAAAATATATTTGTATGAACTAAATATTATATCATTTATATCGTATAGAATAGCAGCATTCGTGTTATTAGAATTTAGAACTCTTTTGCCTTTGTGTCTAATCGAAAATCATCAATGTCAACGAAATCAGAAAAACACAATATGCTTAAACGCACACACTATCGTTGTTCGTATTCGTATATATACTTTATTATATTCTGCATCGACGAAATAATAAAATGTTTATAAAACACTTGATGAGTGTGTATGCCACGATTTTATACCTACGTAAATGTCCGTAAAGAAGAAATAAACTATTTGGACAACACAATAAATTAAGAATAAGTCAGTCATTCTGACACGCACAATTTCAAGTTATTATTGTTACGGTTTAAAGAAACTCGGTGTTCGAAACAAAAGATGTTTTATCGTTTCTACGAGCACGGAAAACTCTGCTGTATAATACTGGCGTATTAAACTATATATTAAACAATATAAAATATTGCACCGAAAATTACAAAACTAAGCCGAAATAATGTATAAAGACTTGACGAGACATGTGTATTCGTATGGGCGATTACACCTTTTTACCATTTTAAACGCACAATGTCAACTACACGCGTCACCAGGTAGATAGTATAATATTAAAATATTGCGATTTGTTTCAGTTTGCAGTGTGTCTAATTCTTTTCATATGAAATCCTGTTTAAGCCAAGGGCGTAGGTATACATAATATTATTTTCCCCTCCTAGAGACATTTTTTTTTTTAGAATTTTTACCAATACAAATTTTCTTTTGCCGACTTCTATAACATTTAGCATATTATACTAATTCTATATAATTCACCTGCAACAATAAGAATACATTTTTCTATTTATCCCCCCACGCCACACATTTGAGGTTTCCCTTGTTTGTACCTAAATATACATATACTCGTGGTTATAATACATACACTCGTGGCTATAATACATACGTATATACTATATACTATCCAACTTCATTACTTCAGACATGGTTAGTGACGATATGTCACCTCGGTTTTACAGCTCAATAAACTTCCTTCCCCCTCCAAGACGACATATTATGTGATTTCGATTTACAATTGTGATTCATGATTCATAATTAAGTATTGATTAATATTGAAACGTATGATATTCCATAAAAGATTTACTATCTGCAGTCCCTGAATGGATTTAATCTTATTTTTATAGACAGGAAAAAAATCAATTTCACTAGATTTTAATTTTCAATGCATAACTGACATTTTATGTATGTATATATGTATTTATTATGTATCATATTTTATGTACAAAAGCGCATATGGTCGTACGATATGAGAAAAAAATTGATTATAATAATTGACAACTGTCGGCTACATCTTACATCATATAAAATGCATCTGTTAATTTTATTGTACACTACCTTCAGGTATACAGCTAGGCATGCTAGGATGATTATCTGCAATCGCTCTGGGTTTATTGTTCATTGTTTCAATCATTATTCAAGCGTATATATATATATATAGTCTTTTACCAGATGATATAGTGGTAATTTTATATTATATTATATACCTATTAAAATGTATATTTTAATTAAATATTATGTTGTATAACTTATAATAATAATAATATCGTACATTATAAACTATATAGTCACTAGCTACCACCCGCTATTTCTAATTGATCCTAATCGGATAGCACCAAATACGATAATTATTAATTGTTTCAGTCACATCATTAAACGATCGAAGGCGATCAATGATTTACAGGAAATGCATGCCAGCAGTGTTTGAATTGGATTGGATACAGGTATTCTAATAATATTATTATTAGTTTATTTGATGAATATAGTAGTCTCTTTGTGCAACACTCACACTTTGGAGCATCATTATTCATTAGTCGTCGAAAAACTCAAACCTATATAAATATTACATATTATATTGGTACAAATCATAAAAATAATTCACTCGAGTTCCCGTTTATACTATATATCCGCCCATTTCCCTAGTCATTGGATTTAAAATTTAATATAATTTTATATCTACCGCGCCTCCGACAACGACGAAGACGGCGTGTACCGATAAAGGCGCGTTCTCATGAGTCAAGTTTAATTGACCGATTATAGTTGATCAACAAAAATTGAATATAAGTTGAATCAGTTTTTGTTCACACATTTCAACAGAACATGTTTCAATTGTATTATCAACTCAGTTGAAAAGCCGCGGTCGACAATATATCACTGAAAATGGCGTCGAAAGCAGTTGTATGTGAAATTGTAAATACAATAAGTATTTTAGTAAAAGAAGAATTAAAAACGATTTTAATTAATATGTGCAAAAATCGCAAAAAACGTCGTTTTTGGGTGAGACAATGGATATTAAGAAGAAATCAATTGGGAGCATCAAACACTTTACTTAAAGAACTAGCATTAGAGGATAGAGAAGGGTATAGAAATCATTTGAGAATGTCTGAAGAAAAATTTAACGAACTGTTGTTCAGAGTTCAGGATCGAATAAAAAAAACAGATACAGTGATGCGACAAGCATTATCACCAAAATTAAAACTACAAGTAACTTTAAGGTACTTATCTACAGGTGATTCGTTTTCAACGCTCGCTTCCATATACCGAGTACCTAAAAACACAATTTCAAATTTTTTGTTGGAAGTTTGTACGGCAATTTACGATGTTTTAAATGAATTTATTAAAGTAAGTATTATATTTTATTCATAAAAATAACACATTTCAGTTTATTGACTTATAGATATTATTTATAGTTATCATTTAAAATATCATTAAGAGCTTTAGCAAGTATATCAGATGATTGTAGCGTATCCTCTCCACGTTCTTCTCCAGTGCATGGTGGATTTGAAACTGAGGATGACCAATATTCTTCTTCTGTAGCGTTTGAACAAGAAGGTGATGGAGTGGTTTGACGAATAGATGAAATCCCTGATGAAAGAGTTGTGTGACACGAGGACTGTCTTGTTAAGAGTTCCAATCGTTTTTGTCTCATGATAGTTTGAATTTGTTCCTGACACATACCTAATAGCATCATACAAAGGCATATCTTTTAGCTGTACAGCGATATGTTTACCAAATATGTCAAATTCATTATCAGTCTCATTATTATTATTTTGCACAACATTATCAAGCTTATCAATTACTGCACTTATTGAGGAAATATTGTCATTTACCATTTTCCGCTTGCGATTATTTAATTATATACATATGTAAAATTTTTTTAATAATAATTGAAATATAGGTATATATTATTATTATTAGTATTTGTAGTATTATTAGTATAGTAGTATTATAGTGTAGTATTAGTATTAGTATTATTAGCTATTATTATTTATTATTATTAATTATTATAGTTATTATATAAATATTTAAGAATAAAAAGTATACTTACAAAATTTGATGAGGTGTCTCTTGAATTTGTAACATTATTTAGAAATAGATACGCTGTTTTATACCAAAACAGCTTCGGCATGTATATTTCATCTGTACTCATACCACTTTTTTTTGATTTGCAAACCAATGAATGTTCTTTTTTATACATTGTTCTAATTGTCTTAATTTTATTCTTTAGATCAGCAATAGTAAGACCATCAATTTCCATTTCTTTGATAATAGAACCCAAAGCACTTTCTCTTGCATCTCTATTTTTATATGTATCAAGTCGATGGTTCCATAGACAATCATGCTTATGATAAAGTTCCAAGAATTTTAACATCACGCTTTCAGACCACTTGAGGCTCATTTTTAAAATTAAAAATATTTAATACGTTAAAAATTAAAAAAAACACAACTGACAAAATGCACGTGTGACTGCCGGTAGAAAACAAACTGAAGGTTCAACTTGAATCAACTGTAGTGATAGGTTGTTCCCACGTGTCAAGACGGGTTTCAACTTGAAAGGAATTGGAAAACAACTCATTACTTGAACGATAAAGTTTGACTGGGTCAAACTTTTTTTGATCAACTAATTAGTTGTTCAATTTTATTGAAACAAAGGTTCTCACTACAGATTTTATTCAATTTTTGTTGATCAACTATAATCGGTCAACTAAACTTGACTCATGAGAACGCGCCTTAACCGACGTGTACGCGATGTTGTTGTTATTGTAATTTTCGTTTTAACGCGTTCATAAATAATTTACGGTCGTTCGGTGAAATGCGCGTGTTATGCGATTTCGTATACGTACCTACATGGCATATAATATGTTTAATATAATATATAATATAACTTATAAGTTATAAGTAATATATTTCTCGCCGTTTACCGTCACACGCTGCGCATTAATCCGGCCACTCGAAAACTATAGACGTCTGCGAGAAAACTGTCTGGGAATCTCGTGCAACAAGGTACATCGGTGTACATACATTATCAGAATTAAAACAAACCGTACAAATCCAAACCGTGAACTGTACAAGCGAAAACGTTTTAACACGTGTTTGGTGAAATATGGTATCTTAATATCGGGGACGAAATACGATAGTATAATAATATTATGGTAAAACTATAATTTTGAACTAAAATTAAAATTTTTAGTCTTAAATTTCAAATTTTCCACTTGTCCTTTGAGATTTTTGCATACATACAGATTGGATTTATTGTAAATATAAAATAATACGAAAATTAATTGATGACTGCAGTTCTATAGAATAAATGCTACCTATACTGAATGTTTGAATGTTTATAAATTACTACCAGTTTTCATAAGTTATAAAAGTATTTTTTTTTTTTTGCATAGAAGAATATTCGCAAATGTGCACGATGCATCTGTTAGTTAAACACGTGACTTTTTCAATAAAATGTTGTAAGTTAAGTATTATCATTTAAAAAATAAACGTCCGGTGGCAATATAAGTATAGGTAGGGATATTAATATTAGTATATACAAATTTTTAGTTAGACTGTAAACTTATATTTTCCAATTGGTATATACAGTTATCAGCAGACAGCAGTACCTATAATATACACTCCCGCGAACATGACAGTGAAACAATTAAATTCGTTCCCGTAAATCGTAAGTTACGATTAAAGTAACAACCTAAATACCAACAGATTCCGTCTAGTCGTCGTTGGGTAGACGCACATCGTATGTATAGAAAACCGAGAAGAACGTTGTATTATTACATCGTTGCACTTTTCGGGAGGAAGATTAACAGAAACCAAAGAGAGTGTGAGCGTTGTAAGCCTGCTGATATCCGGAGAGGGCTCACGGCGCGGTGTGTCGGGGACACCTATAGTAAACGTGCGTCCTTCAAGCGACCTCAAAATACCTACAACAGCAGAACTAATATAATTATACACGACGACGCAACAAACCAGTAAAATAATATAATAAGTAACAACAATTGAATCCTTAAAAAAAGTCAAGTAAATTCCATTGAGACATTTTTTTTCATATTCTTTTGTACTGCCCTATACCAAACTACCTATAATAATTTACAACCCGAACAAACACGTCATAAAACAATTTGTGCAAACATGATGATGCAGACCTGTACAATGCGAGAAAATACCCTAAGCGGCGCATCCGCGAGCAAAAGAAAATATCTTAGGTATAGTAATAGGGATTATAATTTATACCTAGGTGTAATATTATTATGTAGTATGTACATTATTACTCATATATTACTTATTTTATTATATCTAGAGTAGCCACTAACCGAACTAGATCGTAGATTTGGCTGCCGGGACCATAGCTTTTTCACTGATAACCAACAATTAATAAATAATAACTAACGATATTTTAGCAAGGCGAAAAAATAAGCGATTTACAAGTTTAAAACAATATTTATTGTATCGAATATTACTGGCATAAAATATTGTAGATCAGATCGAATTATATGAAGAATGAACTAAACACATATTGTTATAAACCAAAATAATCAATGGGGACTTGTTTTATATAGGTAGTTAAAAAGTATAAATCTATTATTATTATTAGGTAAAACTTACATTGTTTATAGATGAACTATAAAATAGTAATAGATAAAACAATATTACATTACATATGTCATTGTTGTATGTTAAATTAGGAGTAAAAATCCTAGAAAATAAAGAAAAAAAAAATCTGAAATTTAAAATTAAACTGCTGCACAAACTGTGCTATATAAACTAGTCTTATTATAAGGACACACAGTATATACTTGATACTTTGATGATAAGTTTGCTGTATGTTATCTATATATAGTTTCGCCGTATAAGTGGATATATCGTATACTCGTGTATCATATATATCTATAATAATATTATATTTGAGCCTAGGTCGTCAATTATTATGTGGCCAACGGGCGCATGCTGTCGTATTTAAAAACAAAAACAAAAAAATCGTCAGGACGTAACATACCCATAATATAACTGCAGTATCTGATACATGAGAATTAATGCACTTTTTCAAGCACGCCCACACACACACATCAGATCATTTAACGTTAAGTTTAATATTAACGTGACGAGTTTGGTCACATTTACAATTGGCTATCTATAGAAAAACTGGAAATCTAGCAGGAGAGGGACGGGACAGAAAAAGACGCAGTAGCTTGGGACCGGGAGCGTTATCAAAACGACCTGCTATCACGCCATCCATTCGCGCTCGCGGTGTAAACTGCAGCAAGCACAACGAGTCAGTATAATATTATATTACAACTGCAATCAGTCTACCGATTGCAAAACAGAACGTGGCGGCGGCCTTATTGTGTCTCGAGTTCAGAGTTCGGGTATCCGCCACCCAGATTATATTAGGACAGCGTTCAATAATGGTAATGATAATCGCATTAAAAGATTGTTCAGTATTTCATTTTTACTTGAACCGTGGGCGCAGACGAAAAAAAATACATCGAATTTATAGTTACAATCGACGAAATTTTCCCTTAACATGTCTTTTCATTTCTGAATCGCTTACAACACGCTATATAGCTTATCCTACACTTGCATGGCCGATATACAGAACCGTACGCCCATTTTTAACGTGCATTAAGAGACACGTCGAGTTTTTGAACGGCCTTCGAGGTGGAAACAGACAAATATACTATTTAATAGTTACAAGGTACTGATAACATAATCCACAAAATACAATATATGGCAAAAATAGTGGAAAAAATATAAATATACTTTTGTTTTTTTATACTACCAAACTTTATAAAAATAACTTCATTTCAACGTTTCGTCGGCAGTTATTTAGCTGACTTATACAAATCGTGAGGCTTAAGAGTCCAGTTTAACGCATACTTCTATGTGTTATGTGCAACTATTTTATATAAAGAGTAGCCTATTGCACAAATTATAAATATAAAATACACTATATTCAGAAAATCTAAAAAAAGACAAAATACTTAAAACAATTACTTTAAAATGTGGGACGTAGATGTCTTAAAATTGTAATATTACTTCGAATATTTTCATCGAACAATAGCTACGGTAAGTAAAAAAAAAATGCATTATTTAATTTTACGATTTTCTAACGAATCTACACTATTGACTAAATTTGATCAAAATATTCATCATCTTATAAGTTATAGGAATAACAACATTAATGTAACATTTTTAAAAATTATTGATTAGGTACAAAAATAAAGCAGGTGAAATTATCGTCGGGGTCGAGTTATAGATTATGGCAAATAAATAATTATAGTTCATAAAATCAAGAAAATTATGTAAAGCAAAATGTTGAAATATCTATAGATAATACTGTTAGCTGTTCAGCGTTGAATAGAACTGTCACTTAATTATTTATACTATAAGTAATAGGTACACACTACACAGTATATGTGTTGTACATTGTAGATACACGATACTATGATAGACAAGACAAGAGACGGACGAAAATTACAAGTCATTGCAGTCCTATTAGTGAATTTTTGTGATGATTTTTATTTTTAATTTTACGTTATTGTATAATATTTGTAATAATTTCACGAATAATAATCATTATATCGTCTAGGTTCAAAAAAAATATTTGCCGCACTTATCAGAATGTTTTGAAAATAATTAAAGTCCTTGCTTCTATAGGAAGTATTATTATTTATTGATTATAAATAACAGTACCTACCTATTATACTAAGCAGAGGTGCCTGGAGGCCAATGTACTCAATGAGATTTTAAAAATGTTTTGGATAAATATTGACTTTTTCCGTCATTATTTTTAGTTTTCCCGATTATTTTCAATAATAATATGATATTTCTTCTTTAGACAAACAGTACCAACTATGGATATTGCACTCTCAAAAACACTAAATAAAAAAAGCACACTTCATTGTATACCAATACATTCATTGCTTAGCTCAAGATCTAAAAATTTATCCAATATCCATACAAAAATAATGTAGGTAAACCCGTACAAATTATGTATCATTATTCATTATAAACAGCTGATACCTATACGTCCTACACAATAACTGGAAGTAACCAAGAAAGTGAAATTTATGATGAACCTCTATATGGTAATGCACTAATAGTATTTAGACGGAAAATCTAAATTTTTATAATGACCAGACAAACGTTTTACGAGTGTTAAAAAAATATAAGCTTACCAACGATCGTCGTAATCCGGTGATTACTTATTATAGACATTGATCGTTGGTTTATCGATAAATTACACCGAATACTTTTCTCAGCGCCGTATGAATATAATTAACTCTAGGTAGCGAGGAGTTTTAGGATCATTCTATACGAATGCAATGTAATAAAAATGGAGGGGGAATGGTGGAGTTAAGGTTTTCCTAACACATGCCCACGAAAGAGGAACTACCAATAATATAAACTAACCATATTATAAAACTGATCGTAAACGTGTCGTACTCGTATAACATAATTTAATATAATAACATCGCAAACACAGGATCTTTAATAAGTATATACTCACAACGTACCTATTCCAATTACCAAGCACACTTGTCTTGTTGGGTGAAACTAAAAATAGATACTGAAATTACGATAATAAGTGGTAAGTGCCTACTTAACAGTAAACTTTAAATAGCGCGAAATTGTTAAGTATCGCTGAAACCAGCGTCGTACGCTCGTATATACGTATACTGGCTTTAATAATAAACGGTTTGTGCAAAATGTATATGGTATGGTAAAATATTTAATTCATTCAACAGAAAGTATATGGTGCACACAAAAATCTAATTTGATGTATATTAAGCCCGATTTTAATATTATATCATGTGTTATTATAATATACATTATAGTAATTAATAAATACGATCTGCGGTGAACGAGTTGAAAAACAATTAATTATAAATACATAAAAATAATAATCAACTATATAATATAATAAGACTGAAATGCATACCTGATACCTGCGTGTTAACCGCTCGTCAGTGTTCGGCGAAATAACTGTTTACCGTTGGATAATGTTTAAAGTCTGTTGTAGTTTATTTGTGTACAGCGGCAACAAGAGTCAAAAGGCAGGTGACCAAAGTCCAGAGGCCGTAATGAAATTGACAAAAATAACAGTGTGTTAGTGTAGTGGCTGATAAATTAATTATATTAACAAATTAACATACTTAATATTCCATAATAATATAATATAACGGCTTGCGGTATTCGATCTTACGATTTTTGACTTTCATTTTGACGAGGCGTTTATATTGGTCACACTATATATTATGAATTTATGACAGTCGTGGCAATCCAAAATTTGACGACTGTTAGCCAGATTAATAGACTATTTACACCTTATGCTAACTCAAGCTCAGCTTTCGAAATTGTCCGTTTCTCTAGCCTAACATTGACATCAAGACTCCTTGACTTTCATAAAACACAATACTAGACCGTCTCCAAACCTAAGACGTTCAAAAAAAAACGTCATACCACCGAATCAGTGATACCAAAGTCGCGATCTCTAACGATCGTAACGTCAACTGACTATTACTAAACACTCAAAAGTCAAAACAGTTACCTATCAGTTTTACGCTTATCGACTTTCTTAAAAACACGAGTCTGGATCTTATCAACTATAGACGTTTTACTATAATAGACCGGCTCTCTTATCGATGCCACCGTGTCGGGATAGCTGGTGGCCGCTTTTCGGTTACTGGTTACCTTGATACGGTATAAAATATACAAACAATATTTGTATACTCAGTGAATTAATTGGAAAGTCAGTAGCTATACAAATAATACAGCTACTGGCTCACAAATCAGTTTACATTAACTGTAAGTATATAAATATAATATAATATGTACACTAAACCGGTTGCATCACTGCGCTTTGTCGACATGCGGCTATCAATAAATATTTTTGGTATAGAATGAGCTGGTCTACGAGTAAAAGGTTTAAAGCCATTCAGGGGTCGGCAATAGGCGGCCCGCGGGCCATATCCGGCCCGCGAAAGAAAAAAATATGGACCGCCAAAAATTTTCTTAATTTTCCTATATATCCTATGCATCACTCCCCCTACCCTTCATAACAAAAATTAAACTAATATTGAAATCGATTTCATGAGGCGCTGAGACAATAATAACGGTTAATCATTATCTGTGTTGTTGTTGAACGTGCCGCAGTCACGGCTGCGGGCCGAGTCGCTTGCATTCGCGTGTGTGTGTAAAATACAGTATTCAGATTTCAGAGGCGATCTATTTTTATGATTTATTAGGAAATTACGATAGCGTTCATCGTATAAAGCTGTTTATAATAATAGTCACGATAACAGAACACCATACATTGAACCTACTTCTTGAAACACTTAATAATATTATTTAGTTCAATTTAATCGTTGCGTTGCGTTTGTTGTTCGTAGTCCGTCGCGTCTGTAGTGTTATAACTTATTAATTTATAAATATTATTCGTGTGCAATCGAGTATGTTTTCCAAAAAACGTAAAGTTGACAATGAAAACAGAAAGTTCCTGGCTGAGTGGACCGAACAATATTTTTTTACACTTCCAGTAAGAGCTGGAGCCGTTCCAGTTTGTCTCATATGCAACAGTACAGTTGCTGTCGTTAAATGTGCTAATTTAAAGCGTCATTATGATACAATGCATAAAGATTTTGAAAAAAAATTTCCTCTTGACAGTGCAGCGCGTAAAGATAAGCTCCAAGCGTATCTCTTGTCTTATAAAAATAGTACGACTATGTTAGTAAAGAGTATGAGTGGGCAAGAAAAGTCAATAGAAGCAGCATTGCGTGTTTGCTGGACGTTAAATAAGCACCAAAAGCCATTTACAGACTCAGAAATTGTAAAAGAGTGTATGTTGGAAGTAGCCACTGCACTTTTTGAAGAGAAAAAGGACATAATTAATGCTATTCAAAATATTCCTCTATCAGCAAGAAGCAATACAAGAAGAACAGAACTATTGGCCGATGACAACAAAAATAATTTAATTCACATTTTACAGATGGCTCCTTGCTACGCTATTGCAATTGATGAGTCATGTGATATTGTTGATTCTGAGCAGATGTCAATTTTCGTGCGTTTTTTAGACGTTGAAAGTAAAGTGTTCAGAGACGAATTGTTAGCATTATTGCCATTGAAATACAAGACTCGTGGAGAAGATTTGTTTAAAACTTTTGACGACTTCATGACTAAATCAAATATTAGTTATGATAAAATTGTGTCTATTTCAACCGATGGCGCCCCAGCAATGATTGGTAAAGAAAAAGGATTTGTTAAGAGAATCAAGGATAAGAATGCTGAAATACTTTCATATCAATGTATAATTCATCAAACATCCCTGTGTGGCAAACTTAGTACAACGCTGAAGGAAGTAATGGACATAATGATCAAGTTGATTAATTTTTTGAGGTCCCGATCTGCTCTTCAGCACAGGCAGTTTAAAGATTTTTTATTTGAATGTGATTCAGTGTATTCGGATTTACTTCAACATAACAATATCCGTTGGTTAAGTAAAGGCAAAGTGATCGAACGTTTTTGGAGTATAAAAGAAGAAGTAATCACGTTCTTGATAAACTTGGATTCACAAGAATCAAAGCAGTATCATAAATTCTTAACAAACGAGAGCAATATGCTATCTGGCCTATCTGTGGCATTTTTAAAAGACATTCTTACATATTTAAATGTACTTAAGGGGACGCTACACCCGCATGTGTTGTCTCCGTCTTACAAACGTAGAACATAGCAAAAACATATTTTGCGCGGGAAAGAACCGAGAAAGCTACAGTCATAATTAAGAAACGAAATTTTCACCACATAAAAAGGAGAACGTTGGCTGTGCAATGTCGTTTTTATATTTTCGATATCGGAAGTACAAAAAAAGTTATTCAAGTTTGAAAAATACAAAAACAAATGTATTTTGAAACAATAATAACTTTTTTCATATAAGTGATATCGAAAAAATAAAAACGATATTGCACAGCCAAAGTTCTCCTTTTTATGTGGTGAAAATTTCGTTTCTTAATTATGACTGTAGCTTTCTCGGTTCTTTCCCGAGCAAAATATGTTTTTGCTATGTTCTACGTTTGTAAGACGGAGACAACACATGCGGGTGTAGCGTCCCCTTAATACTGAGTTACAAGGACATAATAAGTTAATTTGTGATCTGATATCAAGTGTATCTGCTTTCCGGCGAAAACTTGAAATCTTTGAAGAAGATATAAAAAATCAAGATTTTATTCATTTTCCAACAATCCTTGAATATAAAAAGAATTCCGACATAGACTGCAGTATGTTTTTAAGTTTTTTGTCGGACCTTCGTGAAGAATTTGGTAAGAGATTCAAAGACTTTGCAGAAATTGGAAAACTGTCTCAATTTTTAAAAAGTCCGTTTGAAGTTTCTCCGACTGGAGAATGGATTGACGTTGCTACAAAATTATTCAGACTTCCAAAATCTTCACTTCAAATGGAAATTATTGATTTGCAAGAAGATATCTCATTGCAAATGAATAAGACTTCGTCTACTGAAGATTTTTGGATAAAACATGTCTTGGATAAATACATGAACTGTAATACCCTTGCCATAAAATTAGCTACTATGTTTGGCTCCACTTATGTATGTGAAACTTCGTTTTCAAAAATGACGTTTTTAAAAAACCGATACCGTTCAAGATTAACAGATCACCACCTTGAAAACACTTTACGCATCAGTTGTTCTCCAAGAGTACCAGATTTTAAAAAATTAGCTCAAGAAAATAAATGTCATTTTTCTCATTAAACTTTGTTATTATTAGTATGAATGTATTATTACTTTATAAATAATTAAATATTAAATACTGTATCTTAAAATGTGTTTTTAATACAAAAATAAATACATTAATGATAAAATTATGTTTAAGATTTTTTTGGCCCTCGAAATTTTTATTTTTTAAATATCTGGCCCTCCATATAAATTAATTGCCGACCCCTGGTGTATGGTATCAACTACCGATCCCGTTCAATCACCGATTTCCACGACCTTGACAGATTTCTAGATGCTCAAAATCGACATTCAAACATTCCCGTCTTCGAAACGTTACCCTCAAAACGCCAAGCCTTATCACAAACCTTTTACCATATAATCTTGTCACCTTCTCAGACGACGTCGTCTCCACCATCGGTACCCACTCTTAGAGAGTTACACCAGCCTCCGAGTTTCACTTACAGCCAGTATAAATAAAATTTTAAATCACAATGCCCTTCCAATATTTTATTTCCAGACTAAAAATCACAAGCACGCTCGCTGTTCAAGATTAAAAATAACGTAGCTATACATGGATGTGCAGTAAGTAATATAATTAAGGGTCTCAATTCATATCAATTTTATCAAAAAAATGGTTATTAATTAATAATTTGTATTCATAAATATTTTTATAAGTCGTTTACATTTACTACTACAGTCGTATTCTTACCAAATATCCACGTTTTACATTAGAACAGTTGATTCCTTAATTTTTTAATGAATTATAAAAATAATTGTAATTATAGAATTTAAAAAAGACAATTCGTTAAAGTGTAAATGTACAGTCAGTATTAATATTTTATTTTCCTTTAGTTAAGTGAAATTGTTTGCTTGTGTATGTTGGTGTATGTTGAGTTTATTGTTATTTTGTAATACAGTTTGTATTGTATTATATTGTTATTATTGTTCTATAGTAATATTATTCACCACTAGACTAAACCACATTGATAACATTATCCTTATATGTATATGTTACACCGTTGAGCGAAATACAATATGGCACAGAGCTTTGGCGCTAGGTGTACCACACCGGTGTTTGTACAATTTTATAGAATTTAAAATATTATGAGTGAGTATAATAATACGTTTTATTCTTTTGGGACTCAATCCATGTAATAGTCTGCAATAGCCAACATAACAACTATAATAATCAAGTAATAACTAATAACAATAATATTAGTGAATACATATTAGCAAATAATTGTTGAATATAATTTAATAAGTAAACAGGTAGGTCATATTAAAAACAAATATCAATAAACTTTAAAATTAATAATAACTAAAAACAAAAATTAATTGTAATAAATCAATTTTTAATACTATATTATCATACCACATATTATTACTTAATCATATTTTTCTTGGGTTATATTTTCCTTTTACTGGATTTAACTTAAATTCCTTAATCGATTAAGCAAATAATTAATAAAATCTAGGTATAATATAATAAATCAGAGATGTATTAATACAAATTATGTTGGTTAAAATGTTTGTTCGACAAGTGTTTAATTTTGTATTGTACGTTATTGTGATTATTTTAGATGTACACAAGGATTACCCGCCAATCATGCCTACGCATTTAAAAAAAAAGTTTAATTTAAAACCAACGTTCGAAATATTTTAATTGGGTTTCATTAAAAACAAGAGTATTTTATTATTCATGGTTAATTTCGCTGAATACAATTAAATATACCTAACAATTGTTTAAACGTGGGAACTTTGGATTGACCCACTTAGTATTTTTGTTTGTTTTTGAAATTTTATTATTTTTAAGACACCTATACCTCTTATTAACGTCTACTACCTACTGAATATACGATGGTGAAATTAGAATTTGACAATCATGATCATTTTTAAAGTGACAATGAAAAAAAAGTCAAATTTCTCTTTCACTCGACGTTAGTAAATAGCTACTTATTTATTTATTTTTTTTTTAATACATCATTAGGAAGTATTCTGTCCCCAAAAATCGCTAGCGTAAATGCGGCTGTGTTGATAATAATAATAATTATAATAATAAATCGGTGAAATTAAAATATCAAGGCGTTTGTACAATGGAGTAAGAACTACAACACCTGTATAATATTGGTACGCGTCTAATTTCACCATTGTATTCGGTGCCTTGAAATACGTGTTTTAAGGAAAGTTGAGTGTTGATATAGGTACCTTAGTACCTACACCATATATTAAATCTATAATACGTATAATGTACATAAATATAATACAAAATACCTACCTTTATTACCCCGCAATAGTTTAACTATTTACACATTCGGGAAATCGTTTATTTCTCTTAAAACCAAGCAATTGCTATTAAACGCAATGCATGTGAGGTACCCAACACCGCCGCCACTCGTTGACCCAAATCGTCTAGAAACCCAGTGGGATGTCTGACAGTGTTAGCTTTGCATATTATACTATATCATTCAACGTTCTGCGGTCCGATGATAACATCGGTAGGTATATAAAAAAACCGCTTGTCCGCGGCAAGAACGTTAAGACTCGGAATAACCATAATAATATTATATATTATTATATTATGGTTAATGAGCCGAGTGTATGTAGACTTTGTCCCGCGCCAGAGTGTGAATATCGAATTACCCGTCGTAAAAAAATCATCGCATACCGTGGTTAATGAATTACCATATTTTTTTCTCGTATAATTAAACTTTAAAAAATTATTATTACTGCCAAAACGAAACTTATATACCCCGGGAATGATTTGTTACCGGATCCGCGTTTTTATTCCTCACCGCGCAGACATATCTATGCGACGACGATGCAACAACTATCCTACCTGCTATTTACTCATAATATATTATATTATTATTATGCACTGCGCCGTTCGCTGGACCGTTTCGTACATCGCCGAGGACGGTTTTCGTTATCTATTTCCAACCGTACCGGTTAAACGCATTTTTATATTATTTTTTTTATCGCGATGTAAGTATACCAGCGCTTAACCTTAAAACGTATAGTGAACCCCGAAACACACAATTTTGTGACCCAGTGTCGTGTTTTTATATCGACCGTCATCTCCTACAGCAGCTATGTATAGAGTTGTTAAACTGCAATTTGAAATAAAAATAATTATAATAATAATCGGTGTTCCACATATTAATATTATAATGCTTAATATTACTATCGTTCATTAAATAGGCGTGTAAGTACGTTGCATATTAGACTAACTAGTTATTAAACTTGCGTGAGTGTGTATTATAAATTACTAGCTGTATATTACCTGAATCAGCAGAGTCAAAATTATTCTATCAATCTACTGTTTTCCGTTTTACTTCAGTTGAAATACATATATCATATAATACCCTCAAAAACCCAGTCAAAATATGTTCATCTGTTTTGAAGCTTTTTATCCCGGATAAACAGACTGCCAGACACCCATATACGACGTATCTGCAGTGCGTGTTTCATGCAATAATACATTTGTAGTCGTGTGCGTTTAAAATTTGAATGATTTATGTTTGTGTTAACTGATAAAAAAGATAAGTGGGGGAAAAATTATAAAACAAGATTCGTAAATAATTGCAAAATATTAAATTCCAAAGCTGTGTGATGAATGATGTTTTTTTCTTATGCTAAGTTAAGTATTAGTAGAATGTAGGTATACGTACAAATTTTTAGGTTTGCCTACCCTAAGACAAGACTACATGAGACATGATATCATATAACAATTGACCGAAAGACAAGTACAAGGTTATTTAAAATAAATCCCGGCCTTCTGTAGAAATATTATCTTCATAGGATTTAATGATTTATTAATCGTCATCACGAATTATAGCTGTTTTATTTTCTATAACCACCCACACAGCACATATATTATGTTATAATTTTCAATATGTTTTAAAAATATTTTTTTTAAATAATTTACATTAAACATCCTATGAATTTTATTAAATGATCAAAATATATTTAGCCAATAACAAACAATTTTTTTTTTTGCCACATTCACAATAATTATAGCGTATTTTAAATAATACATCTTGGTATAGGTATCTTCTAATTTTGTTAAATCTATTTTATAGAACATTTTATATAAGAATATATAAGAACAATTGTTGTGATTTCATTATTTGTATTTCTTAGTTTACTATTTTTAGTTGCTTACATAAATTGTTTTCATAAATAAATGGGTAAGTACCCATTTCAATAATATTTGATGGACGTTTCACCCACATCTGCATGTCGTATTGTCTACCATCTTAACACAAGAACATACCCACAAAATTTAAGTTAAGCAGTTCGTTTAGCTTTGTTAGAATTTATGTCAGAGTGAATTAACCTATAATAAAACCTAAAGGTAACAAAGCTATTTTTCGATAATTAAATTTTGAAAGGAATTATGAGCATTTTTAAATTTTAATATTTCACACAATTTTATAACTCGCTCAATCAAGTTATACATAAGTTATAATTTAGTTATACCTAACCTATCCATATGCAATTCATTTAAAAATAAAAACAATAAAAACCGTATAAATTAAATTTGTAATACTTGCAGGTTATTTAAAACATATAAATAAATGAATATTAATTTATTAAAATAAGATACATTTTTTGGGTCATTGGAGGAGAGATAAAAATAAAGTACAACAGCGTTATGATAAGAATGTATAGCCCAAGATATAGTAGTCACAAAATCCTAAATACGTCAACTGCACAACTCGTAAATATTACGTAAATACATATTTCAATATTTCACTGACATTTATTGTACCAAATATTCAATAAAAAAAAACTTTATTATTTCTGTAAATATTGAATAATGTTTAAGCTGATTATTAAAATATAAAACTCATTATTGTGATTTATGCGGTAGAGATGGAATAATTTCGTATTAATAATATATTTTCAACAATAACAAATACATTATGTAGGTAAAGGTATAGGCAATAAATAGGACGCGTGCGTATAGTTTACGGTACAATTGATGGATTTGAACGACAACAAATTGCGTAAAACAAATATAATAGTACGTACTTGACCCAAATAAAATTCAAATACTAATCATAACGATACGAAACCGTACCTTAAATCATCATAAAGTCAACGTGATTCACTAAAGCGGGGTGAGCAAATTAAGAAATACATCAAGTCGTAAATGCTTAATAAATTAAATACACATTTGCGATGTAAGTTACTACAGTTAAACACGCGTTTCCTTCACCCAGAATTTATTATTGTTTTATATATTTTATTTTTCTTTCGCGATAGTTGTGGATTTTAAGTAGGTATACGCTCCGATGCCGTGTTGGTATACCAATGGTTTTGATTTAATGGGCACACTGGGTACTAAGCTACAACTTTTTTTATAGTTTTAATTAGGTTAGTTACCAACGACATTTTAACAAGTACTCTCAATGAACCATAATGTACTATGTTTTATCTGGTCACGGTTTTGGAATATTATTTCTGATGTATGACTATACGAGTGTTAATATAATATATTATAATATTTAAATAAAATATAATATTTCTCGATATCTGTGAGTGGATTTACTTGTGATGTACCTATATAAATTAACTACAAATTTAGGTTTACTAAAAATCATAACTAAACACATTTTTTTCAGGCTAAATTTTATTCACATAATATATTATATAATACGCATTGTATATTAACTTAACTGCTAACACATTTTAAGATAATATATATAATATGCATACATAATAATATGTTTATCATACCTATAGAGCGTGCAATAAGCATATTATATATTGTATTATTATGTATTTTAGATCTATATAAACAAAGTAAATAGTGTTGTCAAGGACGTTATATATAACTACAATGTCTTACACTCAAATACGTAACAGAAAAGGGTGTCCTCAGTCCTCACCATTGTGTTTATTATTAT